TCTAGTGCCTTGATGCTTTTGCAGCATGATGCATTTTACACGCAACATAATTTGAGTATGAGGAACTTTGTACTGTCTGTATCTAAGAGTGTGATTGTTGATTACATCTCTTCACCAGAGGTTGGCTTCTTGAGGAGTATTTTGGCACCCTTTGCATCAAGCAAGACAAAGCTGGTCTTCAGGTTCATGCAACAAGATGACATTGAGCCCTCAACCAACCAGAGTTATCGTTCTCTGTTAGGGAATCTCACATTTATCAAGAAATTTGCCTCAGGAATTATTGTTCCCAAGTCTTACATATGGCCAGTTGATTCTAGTAATTACTTGCTACCTTCAACCTCTGTCGTCTCAGACGCTCACAAAGTAGGGCTAGAAGTTTTTGCATCAGACTTTGCGAATGATGCTCAATTTAGCTTCAATTACAGCTATGATCCAGTGGCTGAGTATTTAAATTTCATTGATAATGGTGACTTCTCTGTTGATGGCGTGATATCTGACTTCCCAATAACTCCATCTGAAGCTATAGGCAAGTTACTAGTTTTTTTAGTAAAAGTGAAACCATTTATCCAATGCAGTAACTTAGTCTCAACAACTTTAGTTTATCAAGGCCACTTTTATTGAAACTTCTTTTTATTCTCCAGATTGCTTTGCTCAACTAGGCAAAAATGCTTCAAAACAAGGTAAGCATCATAAAACATTGCTTCTTGCCTCGCCAACTTTTGATGTAAAAGGACACAATACTTTATATTTTTGGTCCTACCAATTCTCCAAAGGTTCTTCTTAACACGACGTTCATCCTTTGCCTTGTTGTAGCTGATCTACTGATAATCACCAAAAATGGAGCAAGTGGGGACTACCCTGGATGCACTGACTTGGCATACTCAAATGCCATTGTAGATGGTGCAGATGTTATTGACTGTCCTGTGCAAATGACAAAGGATGGGATACCTATCTGCTTGCAGTCTATTAATCTTTTTGATAGCACGAATGTTGCCCAATCAAGTTTCAGCAACCTTGCAACAACGATTCCAGAGATTCAAGCAGACACTGGAATATTTACCTTCACCCTGACATGGAGCGAAATTCAGACCTTGAAACGTGAGTTATATTTGCTTCATTTTTGTTTGTGTTGTAATTAGTTATTTCTTCAGCTTCTTATTTTTCCTTCTTTTAGAAACCATTAGTTCTTTGAAATGTGATTTTTTGAATCATAAATAAATAATAATATCAACTTGAATCACACAGCAATTCAGCACAAGGCGGGCCAAAGAGAAAACTGTAAACAGGAAAAATGGGGTAAAAATAGATATAAGAAAGAGGAAAATAATTCCGAAAGGTATATTTGTCCAACAAGTGAAGAAAGAGTAAAATGGTGGCACCAGATGGAGTCATTTGGAGTTTATACTACTAATTTATATACTCTGAGATTTTAATGGCTAGTTCTATATTCTTTCTAAGATAGATATTGTTAACCTTAACATATTGGTCAACATCCCTGTATTTATCCATTATATGTCACTGCAGCATCAATATCAAGCCCACAGGGGAAGAAGTACAATTTATTTCGGAATCCAAATTTCAAAAATGCTGGAAAATTTGTAACATTGTCCGATTTTCTGGCCACAGCAAAAAATGCTAGCTCTCTTTCTGGGGTCTTAATCAGCATAGAGGTGAGTTCTTTATTTTCCAGGATATTACTTGTTAAAGATCATTTTCCTAATCTCAAGTTTCCTGAATGCATATAATGGCTGTGCTCAGGGTAACTGTGGAAGACATTATGGTAAATGCAGCCTAAGAAATTTTCGTACCTTATTGTTTCCATTCCAATCCATGGAGCATAGTAGCTGAAAAATGCATTTTATTTAGGCTTAGGTCCGTGTGTCAACTAAAAGCTAAAGCTTTAGTTGTTAGTAGTAGGTGGTCTTGTTCCATACATACCTCTTATCATTGTACTAAATTCCCAATGTAGGATGGGGGTGTCCAGCACTGTAGATTCATTGAATTCTTGTCAAGACTGAATCATTCAAGATGTCATGCTCACTCTTCTGTTTGCAAAAGTTTTTTAACATGAATCCTTGTGGGCAAACAAAACTAAATGTTATTGTTATCATGAAGTTCCTCCTATCTCAAACTCCTAGGATTTCCTGTGCTTTATATTCACTGCTTTCTTATAAATCACTTCTCAAAACTTTCAAGTTTCATTTTAAACTCCTGCATGGTCTTCTGACTTGCATACAAACGGAAAACACACAAGCTAATCTTCTGACATTCTAGATATTCTTAAGGGAGCTGACTGCATCAAGTGTTTTAACTACACAAGCAAATGAAGACAATTGTTATTCTGGATAGCAGGGTCTGCTTTCTTATGAGTGCCCTGACTTCTCAAATCTGCATCCTTGGACTAGCATAATGTTATGTTGACTCACATGTATTTTTCCTTTTATAGGGATTGACATTTTTTTCTTGATTTATTTTGTCGTTCAGAATGCAGCTTACCTTGCAACGGAGCAGGACTTGAGTGTAACTGATGCAGTGCTTATTGCTTTGAGTAAAGCTGGATATGATAAACTGAAAACTCCAAAGGTGATGATACAGTCCAGTAACAGTTCTGTTCTAAAGAAGGTCAACAGTGCAGGCACTTATGAGCCTGTCTACAGGATTGATGAAAGTATTCGGGATGCTCTCAATGCCACAGTTGTGGACATCAAAAGCTTTGCTCATTCTGTAGTTGTTGACAGGACCTCTGTGTTTCCTATGGATGAAAAATTCATCACTGGTACAACAGATGTTGTAACCAAGCTACAATCCTTCAATCTTCCTGTTTATGTAGAAACTTTCAGCAATGAGTTCACATCGCAACCATGGGACTTCTTCTCAGATGCAACAGTTCAGATCAACACATTTTACATGGCATCCGGTCTCACTGGTGTAATCACAGACTTCCCAAAGACAGCTGCTCGATATCGAAGTGAGTAGATGCTTACTGCTTCTTTATATCCTTTATTTAAATGATGCCAAAGGCTGGATATCTGAATCAAGTTCTAGTCCTTTCCCATGCAAACATGCTTTTTTCATTATCATGAGGAAGACTCCGTACTACTGTGCCATTTTGTAGTATAGACTAATGTTTTGGAACATACATGTAATTTAATACACTGTTGACGCGACAATCCTTTCCAGGGAACAGCTGCTTAGCAAGGGGTAAAGAGACGCCTAGCTACATGTCCCCTGTTCTGCCTGGTAACCTCATGCAACTCATCATGGCACCTGCTTTATTGCCACCGGCTGAAGCCCCGTATCCTGTACTGACAGAACAGGATGTAGCAGAGCCACCTTTGCCCAATGCTGTAGCAAAATCCCCTTCTACCAGTCCGGCTGGATCTTCATCAACCTCACCTCCGCCAAATGAACAACCTAAAGTCACCGCTGGCGTCTTCGTCTCAAATATGGCCATGCTTCTCGTCGTTCTCTTGCTGTTTTAATACTGGAGAGTGGAGAGTCACCTTCTCAAATCCAAGAACCCCCCCCTTTTTTTTTATTAATTTTCTTTTGGCCCGAGTTATTTTTACCTTTATTTTTTGTAGGTTTGTTAATTCTTCCTCCATCTATATTAGAAAATTAATGCACAAATTCTTGAACTGCATAGCTGTTTATTCCGTTCTTAATCAAACCATGGAATTAATTATTCTTGAATTTTTTATTGAATCAAAAGATCTCTGTTTAGTCAATCTAGCAATAATAGAAAGCAAATAACCCAATAACCCAAATGGTTTGAATTAAGGATTTGCTTTATTTGAGTGAATTTGTAGGGAAGCAATTTTCTTCTATTCTTTACAATGCTATAGCATTCTTACAATTTAAATTAAGAGTTTCTTGCGCTATTTAGAAAAGAAATTAGCATTCAATCACTTAAGCTATTAGCTAAATGCAAGTAATTTCAATACACTACTATTGTTAATTTTTTATATAAATTTGCATATGCTCTAAAATTCCCATGATATAAAAAAATTTCACAATAAGCTTTTGACTTGAAACGTACACAAAATCAATCTCAGCATTCTTATGCCGTGAAGCAAAGTTATTGATAAGAGTGTACAAATGATTTGATTAGCATACGTGGAATGAATGCTTTGATTTGCATATATATTGCTCTTTGCCTTAAAATATACCTTTCTATGGGAAAGTACATGAAAACCAAACGTACATCAAACAAATTAGATCAAATCCCTATTTTAGTCTTTCTACTTTGGTAAAAAACTTCTTTATAGTCCTTTTATTTAAAAAAACTCCATTTTAGTCTTTAAAATTTGAAATCCGACCTTTTTTAGTTTCTTTATTAAGTTTTGTATACATAAAACGTTAGATAATGAAAATTTGAAAGTAGAGGAAGTAAAAAGGAGCTAATAATGAGTTAAAAATAATCCTAATTTGGTTTCTCTACTTCAAAAAAAAAAAGCCTCTTTTTGGTTCTCTCTTTTGAAATTTTCATTATATAATATCAAAACTTAAGGAAGGAACTAAAAAAGGGTTGGATTTCAAATTCAAAGAACCAAAAAAAATTTTTTTTTAAATAAAAAGAAAGGAGTTTTTTTAAATAAAAGAACTAACAAAAAGGTTTTAGCAAAATAGACGGATCAAGTTGAGGTTTTAACCAACAAATTATTCCCTTCTCATGCTTAGTACCCATGTGGCATGCCCCTAAATTATAAGACTATTATCCCTTAAGGATTGACATTCGTTGTGCTCTCTCCCATGGTATGAGGAGGCATACTTTATACTTTAATTTATCTTGATTCATCTTTTCAAATACTCCTATCCACAAACTTGAATTTGTTTTTCGGTTGTTCGTTTTTCTTATAAAAGCAACAAAAATGGATGATTTTCATCCCTAAAAGCAATGCAACAGATCATATTAAAAGCACAAATAAACTACATTCTTCCTTTCATGTCAATCAAAGCGCATGTTATAAAAAGCACAAAAAACACACCCTAATGCAAACACAAAAGTCAATATCGATCAAATTAAGAGAAGAGGAGGAGAGGTACAATGGTTTCTGATTCAGCTTGTAAAAATTTCTTTTTCTTCTTCTTCACAATGTCCTCATTGCAATGCCTAAATTAAGTTCAAGCAAGAACCTATTTCAGCGTCCTTCAGTTTGGTGCTTGTGCTGATGGAAAAACAGACAACAGTAAGCTAAATTAATAAAACCAAATTAACCCCTTTTTATAGTATCAACTCGAGATGCTAAGTTCTTGTTTTTTAATATATTACTATATGAATTATTTATGATTTTTTTCCTTTTTTTTTTTTTTTTGAGTTTAGGCATTTTTGGCAGCATGGAATCGGGCTTACAATTCAATGGGAGAAAATGGTGTTTTGATCCCAACAGGGGTATTTTTGTTGCGTCCAGTGGCGTTTAGGGGTCCCTGTAAGGGCTCTGTTATGTTTCAGATCAGAGAAGCCCTCAAGGCTGCCACTGATAAAGCTTCACTTTTGGACCATTGGATTAGCTTCCAATACATTGATCAATTGATGATCAACGGTGGTGGATCACTTGATGGTGAAGGAGCCTCAGCCTGGCCCCTAAACAATCGCAGTAAAGACCCAAATTGTCTTCCTCTTCCTGTTGTAAGTTCCAAAAAAAGGTTACCAAATAATAACAGGAGATGATCATCCTGTTTTCTAAATCCCCAAAATACTAATGTTTGTATTTTTACAGTCAATGAGACTCGATTTCGTCACCAATTCAAGAATCAGCTCCATAACATCAATCAACAGCAAGAACTTCCACTTCAACATTTTTGCATACAAGAACATCACAATTTCCCGCATTAGGATTTCAGCTCCAAAGGACAGCCCCAACACTGATGGAATACACCTTGGCTCCTCTACTGACATCCGTATCTTGGATTCCTTCTTCGGCACCGGTGACAACTGCATTTCTATGGGACCAGGATCCAAGAACATCAACATTAACAATGTTCATTGCGGCCCTGGCCATGGCATCAGTATCAGTAGCCTCGGGGGATCCAAGATGGACGCGGATGTTACCGGGTTTGTTGTGAGGAACTGTAGCTTAGTAGGGACATCCAATAGCACAAGGATCAAAATATGGGTTCCTTCTTATCCCCTCCTTGTGTCAAATCTTACATTTGAGCAAATTAAGCTGAGGAATGTCTCCAATCCCATTTTCATTGATCAGCAATACTGCCCTTCTAGGATAAGTGATCAAAAGGTAATTCTTTTCTTCGATCTCTTTTCTTTCCTCAATTTCAACACTTAATATATCATGATTCTAACTTAGCAAGTCTTTGTTTTTAAAATACAAAATAACAAATCTAAATTATTTAAGTAATTGATGTTATTCTTGTTTATTCACGAATACATTAAGAGTATATATACAATTGGAGCCTAAGTGCTGCCCTATCATATTAGGCAAGTGAATTACAATCTTGGATATTATGCAGAGAATGAATGTGAAAATTAACATAATATAAATATGCTAAGATACAAATCTAGTTTCCTTAACATGCCCGCGCAAGATGGAGGTGCCATCGGCAACTCCAATCTTGTCCTGCAAAAAAAGAAATCTAGTAGAATGAAAGGGCTTAGTGAATCCATCGGCAAGTTGGTTAGTGGAAGCAATATGTGAGACGCAGAGAACCTTTTTGTCAACCAAGTCACGCACAAAATGAAGGTCAACTGCAATGTGCTTCACCCAGGAATGCAAA